CAGCGCAGACTGGCCGCCAGTCAAAGTTAATTGGAGTTCTTGTGTGCACAAAGACGAAAGCTTTCAAGCACCTGAGTATTAAAAACAATTTTTCTGCACAAAGGGTCCATCTGAGATAAGCCCAACTGGTAATGGGGAGACAGCACAACTTTGGCAGCCTCCTTGTCCTTCATTTGCTTCGAGCAGGTACTGATACTAAAGTATCTTGCAGAAAAATATAATGGTTTGGCAAAATGCCTGCTATGTTGTACTGAGCATGCAGCCCCTGTCACACTTGAAAGCCAAAGTAAAAATGTCTTGTTTTCTGCCCGTGTAAACTTTTGTGCAATTTATTTGGGAAAGGGACAGGTTCTCTGGGAGCTTGGCATGCACGACACTAATAGAGAGGCTGCTGAATGTGGCATTGCACACATCAAAATTTAATCTCACTCAAGGAAGAGGACAAAGTGGGAGGCGTTCTGGTGCGGGATCACTTTTGCTGTCAATAAAGCCGCCCTTGACTGATAATGATCATCGCCCACTGAGGTAGTATGCATTTGTCTGGGCAGATTCTCATTATTCCATCTAACGACCATCTGTCTGCAAAGACCTTGTCTGTCACCTCCCGCTTATCTGATGAGGTCACTTCCTGGACAGGTGCCAAGACAACAGTTGGAGGAATGTATGTTTTGGGGGTGGTCGGCCTGTTGGCCCTCCACAATTCGGCTCACATACTCATGGTGGAGGGCCTCTCACTTCTGGTTAGTCCTGCAATCCCTGCCAGCTTTCTCCCGAGGTGGTGGCAGCCGAGCCGTTCAGCCTTGGCCCCGAGGGAAAGGCCGTTGCATGGAGCCAAGAAATGTGGGTATTATTGCTCAGTCTTGTTATTCAAATGAAATATCAAAGGTGACTTCAGTGTTTGTTTTTTTTCGAAACAAGTGATTTGTTTTGCATGTCTTGACTCCTTCTCGTACATGTTACCTTTTCAACTCAATGTAGTGTTACCTTGCGAGTGTTGAAATTTGGAGGTGGTAGGATATCAAGTCAACTACCAGGTCCAAATGTAACACCCAAGATGACTTTATTTAAGTATATCAACATATACAAGTATAAGTGTACACTTATGAATGTTTTCTGAGACTGCACAAGCATGACAATTTTTAGGTACAGTGGGCTCCCGCCATTCGTGGGGGGTCAAGACCAGGGCAGCTCAGCAAAAGCAAAAATCCACATATAATTATAAATACTGTACACTGAAAAAGTTGAAAGTTGAAAAATGGGAAGTAACCTCTTAGTGTTTTTCACGATAAATGCGGATCGTCACTGTAAACTGAATCATAGCTAACTGGACTTCCTGTTCAAGGAAATGAAAAATCAAATGAAAAAAACAAATTGGCTCAAAACAATGCAAAAAAAAAAAAAAAGGGTTATTCCATTTTGACCCAAATTTTAGGCTAAAACATCTATCCCTCCATCCATTTTCTGACGCGCTTATCTTCACAAGGGTCGCGAGGCATCTTCCCGGCTGTCTTTGGGCAGTAGGCAGGGTACACCCTGAACTGGTTGCCAGCCAATCACAGGGCACACATAGACGAACACGCATCCGCGCTCACACTCACACCGAAAGGACAATTTAGAGTGTTCCATTAACCTGCCACGCATGTTTTTGGTATGTGGGAGGAAACTGGAGTACCCAGAGAAAACCCACGCAGGCATGGGGAGAACATGCAAACTCCATACAGGAAATCCGGAGCTGCCACGTCGGCCTAACAGTGCAGAGATGCAGGTTGCAAGAGAATTTTTCTCCCCTGAAATTTAATGCAAATAGCACCCATAATACAAGACTTACTCTGGCTTTGCTACTTCATGGAGTGATCTTGCATGACAAAAGAGTTTCTATTTTTATACCTGCCTTACTCTATAATGAATTAAATACATTTCCTTCGAGCACAAGTGCTACCAATGAATCACGTCTTTTTAACCCCCAAATCGCTGTGCTTTCTAAACACGATTCACAAAAGAGGGACTTGCTAGAATAAGAATGTGTTCATAAGCAATGAAGGCCAAGTTGAAACAAGTGGCAAAAGGCTGCACTGAAAAATAAACTAATGAATAAATATGCTTCAAAATGGCACATCCTTTTCTTCTACCTCACGTGAAATGTATTTCTACTGTGGCAATGTGTCACAGACGCATCATGCTTAGTCAAAATTGCCATCGCCTGGGCAACAGAGCATTGCTCATCTTCTCGGCAACCGCTAATCAATATAAGAAGCAGGCTGTGCAGATGACTGTCTTGTCACAGTTGACACCGCAAGTGATAATTATGGATAGAATTATGATCAATTTCACGGGTTAACTCCTCTCACCTCTTTGGCAAATGTGGCTGCGACGACTGATCTGGCAGTGGTATCACCTTTGCTCAACTCATTCCGGATACAACAGCGTCCATTTGACTGTAGCAGGATACTTATTGATAACCAGGCTGAATTAGATACTTTCCCCACTTCTGATCGAAGACAGCAAAAAATGAAATTCTCAGATTGTCTCTTGAAGATGATCCTAACTGAAAGTGGTGGCTGGTGGTGTGTCAAAAGTGATTTTTCCTCTCCAATCTCCTCAGAAAATCATTAATGCTGATGTAAACTTGTTTAATATTGACAACAACTAATCCACAAAGAAGAAGCAGTCACAGAAAACAAAAGTATTGTCTCTGTTTTGACAATTTACACAATGGTGACACTGGAAAAGCTGGTTTCCATGATTTCCTTCATCCATCTGTCCATTTTCTGATCCGCTTATCTTCACAAGGGTCGCGGGGCATGCTGGAGCCTATCCCAGCTGTCTTCGGGCAATAGGCGAGCTCCACCCTGAATTGGTTGCACATATCGACAAACAACCATCCACACACACACTCACACCTAGGGACAATTGAGAGCGCGTCATGAACCCTGCCATGGATGTTTTGGGAGTGTGGAAGGAAACTGGAGAACACAGAGATAACCCACACAGGCACGTGGAAAACATGCAAACTCCACACAAGAAGGCCAGAGCCGGAATCGAACCCTGCACCTCTGCATTGTGAGGCCGACGCGCTAACCACTGGACCACCGGTGGGGCTGTCTCCACTTTTTCCTATAGGGGAATTTTTTTTTTTTTTAATACACGTGACAGTACAAGCCACACCCCTCGGGCCCCAAAATGTGATGTCACCAGCAAGAACAACACAAGAGTCGAAGCAAAAGCAAAACAAAGCTGCCAAGATTTGAACAGCCGAATCTTCAGTCAACATGCTGGTCCTGCTGTGCAGCTGTGGCTCAGTTCATCGAGCGGATCGCCCAGTGACTGGAGGATTGGGTGTTTAATCTTGGCTGTTTTGTTTTCACTGCTGCCGCTGTTTTGCTCTTGCTGGCGACACCAGACCAGCACAAAAACACAACAAAACAAAACTATTATTGCTTATGAACTTTAAAGAAGGATGGATAAAAGGGAAGATGACAGCTCCTTCACTAAAAATATTTTTCCATAAAAAGGGGAAATTCTGATTCTGTCATAAGGTGTTTGTTTGTGTCTCAGTTTCCCTTCAGTCTCACACCATGATTATGGCTCTACTTATGGGCTGTCATTCTGACCACTCGGCGTTGGATGATTGGCCTTGTTCAAGCCATTGTTCCAAGTGTAATATTCTAGACGTTCCATGATTTTGCTCCGTGGTTTTCTTGCAATGTTTTTTGTATCTGTTCATGTAGGTAGTGTTTTGGTTCTTACTTTTTTATTCACGGTTTTTACCATATGCGTTTTGAGTCCTCTTGTCCGTTTGAGACAAGCTACAGGTATTTCTGTTTATATTCCTTGCCTTTTGCAAGCCCTTTTTGTTCTTCAGCATTTTATCCTGTTTTATTGTACCAGCATCATTGTATGTACTTTGTGCCTTTCTCTATAAATAGATATTTTTATCAAAACCTTGATCTGAGTCTTTGTTTGGAGAGTCCGATTCCATCTGGAACAATCTGGACATCCTGACAGATTGTTGTTGTTGTTTTTTAATATCTGTTTCTCTTCTGGTGGAATAGTGGTTAGCACATCAGCCTCACTATAAAGAGGTCTCGGGTTCGAATCCCGGCTCCAGCCTTCCTGTGTGGAGTTTGCATGTTCTCCTCGTGCGTGTTGGGTTTTCTCTGGGTACTCCGGTTTCCTCCCACATTCCAAAAACATGCATTGCAGGTTGATGGGACACTCGAAATTGTCCCCAGGTGTGAGTGTGAGCGCGGATGGTTGTTCGTCTCAGTGTGCCCTATAATCGGCTGGCAACCAGTTCATTTCTTTCCTAATTCTTCGGTTGATTTTGGCATTCAAATTAAGGGAAAGCTGTTTCTTTCTGTACAAAAAAATTAATAAATCATCAAAATGAGATGTTAATGGAATACTTTAAATCAGGGTTGCCCAAGTCCAGCCCTCGAGAGTCCCTATCCAGCATGTTTTAGATGTCCCCCGCCTCCAGCACATGAGCAAAGCTTGCTGACAAGCTGATCATTTCAATGAGGTGTGTTCCAGGAGGAAGGCATCTAAAACAGGCTGGATAGCGGCTTTGCAGGACTGGTCTTGGGCACCGCTGTTCTCCACTGAGTGGCAAGGAACAGAATAACGAATGATGGACTACCAAATTATTGTAAAATGCTCATCCATGTGCTTAGTTTTCTCGGAAAAACTGGCTGTCCTGAAATATTTCCTGTTTCACTAAAATAGTTATTTGTACCCCCCCCCCCCAAAAAAAATAATAAATAGTGGGACCACGAACTTGGAAGCCGTGATGGTGGTGGTGGGTGGGTGGGGGCGGGGAGGCTTTCAATGAGTGAATGTGTGTTTTATTGACAGTAGAAATGACCTAAGTATTTGGCATGCCATCCGCACGTTCGAGCAAGATATGCAAAATACGAAAATTCAGCTATAATCATGATGAAATCATTGATATTTATTGGATTGAAAAAAAAATAAAATAAAAATACAGAGGCCGGACCATAGAACAAAAATAGAACAGTTGAATGTAATCATGATGTTTCTTTTTCTTCTTTTCTCTTCCCTAGCAGAACAGCCATCAGGGTGTGGCACTGCCTAACTTTCCTCCCTTGACCGCACGTCCCTGCCTTAATGCTTATTCAAGAAAGTTAAACTTATGGTTGCTATTTCACCAGTCTTAGTCGCTGCGTTTCCTGTGATTGGGTGATGTTGCGCTAGTGTACATAAGGTGATTTCTCTCATGAAAATTGCATTCAATAGACTCGGCTAGTTTGTGACTAACGTGTCGTGGAGGACATTTGACGTCGTCACCGAGTTGAAGAAGAATCCCCTTTGTTTGAGATTCTCTCTCCTTCCCATCGCCGCTTTTTATTGATCGCACCACGTCATCACAGCATCCTTGGAGGACGCCTGGGAATAAGCGGACTATGGTTTTCTTCTAGCTATCTATCTTCTCTCTCACATCAGCAGCCGCAGCCGCAGCCCGTCAGGTGCACACACCTCATCCTCCTCCGGGAATCTTGCATTCAAAGCGGGCTGATTAGCTGCATTGTGGAAAGAGGAGAGGTGGGGAAGGATGCCAGAAAACGAGCCGAGCAGAAAGTGACGGTGTGACAGCTGTCATGATGCTGCTGTTTCGAGAACCGGGCTGGTTTTTCCTCTAAAAAGAAAAAAAAAGAAAGAAAAAAAAAGGCTCGAAAATCCATTATCTCCGGGACGTGTCAGCATTACTCTTGAGCATCGTTTCGAGACGACACCGCCTCCTTCTTTTTGGGGGTTGGCGAGGTAACTTGCTGAAGTGCGGGTCGCACCGGCTTCGTTTAACGCTGATGCGTGAGCCCAGCTGAGGGTCGGCACTTTTACTCATCGAACGTGGTTCCTATCAGGGCGTGAACTTGCAGACTCGGAACCTTCAGAAGCCCAGTCAGCCACCCGTAAAGGAGGCTTACGTTCACACGCTATTCATCCTGAAAGACGGCGAGATTTTTTTTTTTTTAATTTTCAAATCCTATCGAACCACGCTTCGGTAAAGAATGGATCTCAAAGCGGACTCCGAGGACCTGGACTACGCGAGACCGGCTCCGATCGAAGTGTTTGCTAGCCGCTCCACGCTGCACGGCATCTCGCACATGTTCACGTACGAGCGCATGTGCGTCAAGCGCAGCCTGTGGATCCTTTTCTTCCTGGGCTCCGTGGGAGTGCTGGCTCTGGTGTGCGTGGATCGCGTGCACTTGTACTTCCAGTATCCGCACATCACCAAGCTTGACGAGGTGGCCGCTCCGCTCATGGAGTTCCCCGCGGTCACCTTCTGCAACCTGAACGCCTTCCGCTTCAGTCGGGTGACGCGCAACGACCTGTACCACGCTGGCGAGCTACTGGCCTTGCTCAACGGCAGGTACGTACGTGCCCCACGTGCTCAGCGTCATGATGTTGTGGAGACGAGTTATTTCCTTACTTTTTGACATACCTTGACTTATTGCAAGGGTGTCCAAAGTCAAGCTTGAAGTGGGGGGGCATTTGGAGCTGTGGCACAAACATTTTAGGGGAGTCTCTTTCCTTATTGCTAACACACATTTCAAAACACCTACCCCTGCCAAATTTGAACAACGGAAACATTCACCAGGTACTATATCAAATGATGCTTCAAAATGGTGAAAAAGAGCAACCATTGTCACTGCTCTCGAACATGGTGGGCATGTGCCCTGAATGCACAGTCAACTAAATACCACTGCTATAGATAGCAATATACATTCACTATGAAAGTGATATAAAGTCATTATATAAGGCTCACCTTCAAAACAGAATAGTTACCGTGGACTCTGTTATAAAATAAACGCACCAGCCAAGTTAAATTTATTGGTCTGGACGCAATGTAGCCGACTACGGGCCTTCCAACTATGACAATGGGCAGCTCAAGTTGTAATGATGGAGGGCTGTTTGGGTGACCAATTGTGTCACTCGATGCTGTTTTCGTCATGTCCCTAAAAAAAATAAGTCTTTCAATTAAAATAGATTAATGCGATCCCGACAAAATTCATTATTACATAGTTCTTACCATTTGCCAATGTTTTCAGCAATTATCCTCATAGATGCATAATGTAGTTCGACATAAAACTGATTTCACTTTCCAGGGACTTGCAGCAATGGATATTTAAACAACAATGTTGCAGCAACACAATATAGACAGACAATATGACCTGAATCACTACCACACACACTTTAGCATCTGTAAAAAACAACTCGTATTACTGCAGCTTCAAAACTCTTCTAGGTTGAAATGCCATCAACCTATTCCAGTGCCCCAAAAAAACAAATATGCAATAGCATTTTACTTCCAGTGCCCAGTGCAAATGACTAAACCGCCTTTCAAAAATATTTCTTATGAACAAATACTGTAGTTTAAGAGCCTACAATTTCGGCTTTCTGAATATATTTTTTATCTTTAAAATCCATACATTTTCATAAATGTCATTTTGCAAGCATGGACAACAGTGAGCACATTACGGCTACTGTAAGTATCACTCATGCTCAGAAATGAGCCAAACAGAGACCGGATAATAATAATAAAACAAAATCAATACGACCCCCTCTAAATTTGAAGATTTTATCCATTGTTACAACAATTGTCAGCTTGTGTCTGTATGTCCGTTCACAGGCATACAATGAAAGTAAACCTTTGGGACAATTTACAATTTCAAACATATCTACTTTTATTATAATGCATAACGTATACATCTGCTTGTCCCTTCACGTCAGTTTACATAGCTTTTAATGTAAACCTCTCGAGCCATGCAAAATGTCAGCATTTGTTTGCCGACAAAATGTTTCAACACCTTGTCATTCACATACACACATAACGGACCAATGGTCATGCATGCATAGCAGTCTTCTGCCTGTTCATCATTCCCTTCTTCTTCCCACCTCACCTCCAGCCATTTGTCTCATACCGAGCAGATCAAAACAAATCTGTGCCAGACACTAAGGTTTTACCTCCGGGGAAGCCCATCTGTGGAAGTGTATTTTTAAAGCACCAAATCACAACAAAGGTTATCTCAGGACACATTTTTGCCGCTCATATCAAAACTGTTGAAGAGTGTGCTTCTTATTCAGTAGAAAGCCAAGAAATTCCTCTGCAAGTTTTGTCCAACTGACCATCAGACAGAACCAAAGCACAGTGACCGAGGCAGCATTCAGCCTCAAACAGCAGAGTGAGAGCGTAACACATTTTCTGGAGTATTTGGCAGAGCGCCGCTGATGCCAAGCAATCCAATTTGGATCGCCACCAAACTGTACGCGTACATAGATCCCCCCTGTATTTGCCTACATTTTGTCATCAATATTCATGCATGTTATTCACTGAGAAATGAAAGAAAATGCAAAATAAACCACAAGCGGTACAAACAACACTGGCACATCACTTATTGATTTGCACTTATATCCAGATCAACTTAACAATGTAAAAGTGTAGTGCACACAAACTGATAATAGGGCTAACTTCAAGCCTGTTGCCCCCCCTCATCTGATCAAAGTCAGCAAAGATCTGCTTATTGAATGTACCTGAAAGATTATCCTCAGTGATTATCCTGTGGTGTGCGGTGTGTCGAGTGATTTCCCATTTCTGATCTGCTGATAAAAATGGGCATGATGGCAAGCTTAGACCTAATTTTTAAACCTGTTGAATATTTATGTTTAATCAGTGCATTAGCAATATACCTTAAAGTGGCTTGTTTGCTGGACACCAAGAGAGGAGCAACAGGGTTGTGTTGATCCATAATCCTAAACCAGATTATCATTTCACAACATTACTCTCAAAAAATAAAACGCACCAGAAGCGTGCTTGTAAATGAAGTGTCTCTGTCGAGATACAGTATGTCACTTTTGTATACTTGACACCGGCTAATTTACTACTTTTCTATTTAGTTAGTGCTTTGGTGGCCTCTCAGGCCCAATTCATGCATTTTGTAAATCTTTGTTTCTGTTATACTATAGATCAGTGGTGTCAAACTCATTTTTTTGTCACGGGCCACTTCAGAGTTATGGCTTCCTTCGGTGGGCCAGTGCAAAATCCCATAGTTATTTATTACCCATGACGATTTGACATTTCGATACCGATTTCAGCAAGAATCATGATAGTTGACACACATGATTTGCTCCAGTGGGCCACATAAAATGACGTGGGGGGCTGGATCTGGCCCCCGGGCCTTGACTTTGACACCTGTGCCGTAGATCCTACATAGAAAAAAAAAAAACAGGCATTTAACAGTTTTGATCGAAATGTGTGGCGTGCTCTGATATCATCAAAGAATTACTTACGTCTCAATGAAGCTCCTCAACTCACTTCAAGCAATGGCGTAACGTTGACACAAAAGCAATGCTGTTCACCTGATCATTCAAAAAGAAATAAATACATTGAAAATGAGCAAACTAATGAATCGTGTAAAACGTCCGCCCTTCCGTGTCATACTGTAATTGTAATTGATGTGAATGTACTGTGCTAACATGGCAGTCGTTGTTTGTTTGAACGTTAACATTTGCATGACAGGACGGTCTCGAAAGGGGCATTTTGCTTGGTGTAAGGTCCATTTTTATATTTTATAACCCGTGTTTGTTTTGTAGGAAAGGAAGGAAGGTGATGCCCGTAAAATCGCACGAGTCGCACTGTGAGTGCAAAGCAATGTTTTGACACCTGTCTCACTTGCTGCCGGCCCACTCTGAGAATACGTCAACAACACGGCACAAAACACGCAAAACCTTTTAAGGCTCTCTGGCATCTCGGGCTAACCTTTTATCCCCAACAAAAACGGTCATCACCTTGTGTATTTTTTTTTTTTTTTTGTGGAAAAAAATAAAACAATACAAGGCAGTGACAAGAGTTGAGATAAACAAGGTAGACAAGAATGTAAAATTTTACAGAACTCGCTCACAGTTGAACAAAATGGAAAATACATTGTCGGATTTGTAATAACCACACAATAGTGAACAAGACAAAAAAAATAAGTTACCGAATCAGCACAATATTTTGGAATGGAATTACATGAGGGGTGAGAAAAATAAATGACTGACCAAAAGGAGTGAATATGTTGTGTTTTCTAGAGAGATTTACTCTATGATCAGGTTTTTCCAGAGAGCCACATGGTTGGGCTTCTGTGATTCGCAGTTCCAAAGGAAAGCTTTCTTGGTGAAAAGTTATGGCCACAAAGACCAAGCTACAAGATGGTGTCGGCAAAATTGTTCTCAAACCTTTTACCAGCAAGTACCACTTGGCTCTCCAAGTACCGCCTCAACATCATGACCAACATAGAACTCGGCCTAACTCTTCATCAAAAAATTGAAACAGAGGTTTCTCAAAAAGTACCTTTGATGTGATTGTAATTCACTGTAATAATACGCCCATTTTGAATTGGAATAAATAATTCATTTATTAATGGCACCATCATTTTTTTTCGAGTCATTATGACTTGACAATTGTCGATGAAGAACATGATCTCTGACAATATCCTCCATTTCTGGCCCCCACTTTGTGCCTCTCATTTGATATCCAAGAAGCTGCAGTTATTGGAAGTTTTGTTGCCTCAGTCTTTGCCTTACCCCAAACGACCAACAAAAGCAGGGAATGTCGGTGAAACTCAGACAGTACCTTCTCTTCTTTTTTATACTTTGAGTTGGCATTATTTTAAGACAAGTACCTGAAGCAGACTGGTACCGAGGGCTCAGTCTTTAGGGTGTGGGGGTGGGAGGGACATGAAATGCATGGGGGTGGTGAGAGAAAAACTTATCAATCAAGTCAGGCTTCAGACAGGACCTCTCACAATTTTACGTGTTAGTTTAACATGGTGTACAATTGTGCTAGCTTGCTTCATCGCAGTTTTTTGCAAAGTGAGCACAAAAAGCACAACAAAACGTTTTGTTTTCGTTCAAAATACCTCAGAATACAGTGAAACTCCTCTAGAACGAAACCTACATGGGCGAAAATACCCCCTTATGTGAAAAAATCTTCATGCATTAACACAATTCCCATTCTCCTGCCCCCCATACGACGAAAGCCCCCCGTTGCGTTATACGAAATCATTTTCTCTGCTCCAGCCTCGCGAAGACATTCACTACAACGAAGTCTTATCCAACAGCGACCTCTACTGCTTCGTTCGAAAAAAGGCAACAGCAACCACCACACTGGTTTACATAGTGAACGATGTTTATTTCGGTCACAGCTGCGAGTTTCCTGGACTCACCATACTCATAGCTGCTCTGCCATTGGCTTACCGAGCATCGTCCTGGCCTCCGATTGGCCAAGAGGGACCTCACTGTCTATGTGTGTAGATACTGAAGCTAGATCCGTAGCATCCGATTAGCTGCTCAGAGTATATTGCTTATGGCTCGACGGACGAACGTTTCCTC